TTGGGTTGAGAGGGGGGAGGAGCGGGTCACGTGATCCCATTACATGCAACGCCTACGAAATAGAAAAATCATCGATTCGCACGCGTGCAATTGGACGCGTACGCATCTTCTGAGATTAAGGATAATCAATACTCCCGGATACGTCATTAAAAAAAAAGAAACCCAGGTACAGGTAAAAGAGTGCAGCCCCCCGCAATTGCTTGGCTCTCGGGACACCGCTGGCGGAAGCGGTCCTCCACGAGAGGGAGCTCCGGAGATTCATCTTCTTGGTTCTTTCGATAAAGTCACGTAGAAGGGAAGTAATAAAATAATAAAAATAAAACATAATAAAATAATTCTCACTGCCAAGCTTGGAACGGCTACTTGCGTTGTGGCCGAAACGTCGTGAGAATTATTTTATTATGTTTTATTTTTATTATTTTATTACTTCCCTTCTACGTGATGACTTTACCGAAAGAACCAAGAAGATGAATCCCTGCAGTCACGAAAGAAGCTTTAAATAGAAAAGAGCTCCCGAGAGTTGGGAAGTGCCCACGCTTCACCCCAACCGTACGTGACCTGCCTGCCCATCGGCTAACTGTGGCGTTTAGACTTTAATCTTGCCGGGTGGACAGAGGTAGTAGGGAGGGGCGCGGGGGGGGGGATCTTCCCGATTGGCTGCTGCTATGAATGTCCACGTGGTGATTAGTCGCTTCGTTGAGCTATCATTTTTGATGGCCAGGTCGCTTCTGAAAAATACCAGTGCTTTGGATTACAAACACGTTTCCGGAACGAATTATGCTCGCAATCCAAGGTTTTACTGTACTCTAAACGCAACGTTGATTCTAAATGTGTAGGGAAAACCGGAGGACCCGGAGAACAATCCGCGCGACCACTGGAAAAGAGACGCCGCAAACTCCAAATACACAGCAGGCGTCAGGGTCGGGATCGAACCCACATCCTCCTGTACACCAGGCGAGGGAGTTAACATCTCCTAGCCACCGCGGCTTATCATCATGTGGACATTTATAGCAGCCAAATACAGTAAAATCTTGGATTGCGAGCATAATTCATTCCGGAAACGTGTTTGTAATCCAAAGCACTCGTATATCAGTTGTGATCACGTGACGCTCGGCAGACAAAGCATATACACGTGCTACTCGTATTGCAATACCTCGCTCGTTTATCAAATTAATATTTATTAAAACATTTTGCTCGTCTTGCAAAACACTCGCAGACCAAATTACTCGCAATCCAAGGTTTTACTGTATTTGGCTGCTGAAAATTATAACATAAGCCACTTCGTTGAGCTATCAATTGTGTGCCAGGTCGCTTCTGAAAAAGAGCTATATAGCTCAGTGGGCCTTACCTGCTCAAATAAAAAATAGTTTAGTTTCATGGTTTAATTTATATTATCGTTCTAATCGTTTCGTTTCAGCGGGCCACAAGTTTGAAATCGTGCTTGTGCATTAATCGTGACCCCACGCCAAAGCCTAAATATGCTTAAACCTGGCCACTGATGAATTTACATGAATGGACACTGATTTACAGAGCATCTCCATGCACTCACATCTCAAGATCCTGTGCAGAACAGTGGAGTGAACACGGGCATCCGGGAGTCGAGGATGCTGCTTCATTTACTTATATTCTTAGGTTTTTTTTGGTAAAGTCACGTAGGTAAAAAATTAAAATTAATACAAAATAATAATAATAAAACAAATTTACCTACGTGACTTTACCGAAAAAAACTAATAATATGCATCCTTGCAGTCACGAAAACTTCAAATCTATAATTCATTTACTTACTCGGTAGAGAGAACGGGACGGTCAAGTGGCTGCGAAAACATTCGTGAACCGCACTCTCATCTCCGTTAGCGGCAGTGTTGATGACGCAGGTTGTGGATTGTATTTGAAGGGAGCTGCTGATGGGCTATGTATTGCTAGGCCCAGGATATATGTCCATCCAGAATCAGGATCTGTATTTATCCCGGAGAAATCCGATGAGCTATGAAGCTCTTTTTTTCACAGATGTCCGATAGGGGCGGGTGAGAAAGTTACAACAACAAATAATCCCGCACCTCCGATTAGCACACTTGGCTATGTACGTATGCGAAAGAAGTGCAACACACGTACAAAAAAAAAACCCGATAGGAGCACAAGATATAGGGAAGGTAAGCAAATCATCCATCCGTTCATTGCAGTCCAAGGACACCTGAAATCAATCTACGCGAATCTCTTTGAAACAACTTAGCCAGCTTGCTATTAACAACGGCCACACGTGACTTAACCACGTGGCAACAATTGTTCACGATTTAGTTTTTGTTCTGACATTTAAAACGATCACAGTTACGGCTGGCGGACCAGCGCAATTACCGCGCACGCGTGTTAGGATTGCGTGTTAGGGTTGCGTGTTAGGGTTGCGTGTTAGGGTTGCGTGTTAGGGTTGCGTGTTAGGATTGCGTGTTAGGGTTGCGTGTTAGGATTGCGTGTTAGGGTTACGTGTTAGGGTTGCGTGTTAGGATTGCGTGTTAGGATTGCGTGTTAGGGTTGCGTGTTAGGGTTGCGTGTTAGGATTGCGTGTTAGGGTTGCGTGTTAGGGTTGCGTGTTAGGATTGCGTGTTAGGGTTGCGTGTTAGGGTTGCGTGTTAGGGTTGCGCGCGAGCCGGCGTAATACGTGCGCGTGTGCCGCGTTGTTCGTTACTTAGACACGTGTTCTTTATTACGTAAACCCACGTTTGTTACGTGTGCACCATGCAGGGGAATCGCCGCCTAAACGGAGGCAGCGTTTATTCTATTGGCTTTGCCAGCTCGTTTAGATTTGTTCTTACGCACCGCTGCCCACGCGATCGGTTAATTTTTAATTTGAATTTTTACACCACACAAATAACGAGTTGCATGCCAAGAAGAAACTTTCATTTTTATGAAATCACATTTTTTTGTTCTTTTTAAACCCAGCCGCTGCAGAATTGTGTGAAATTTAATCAAGACTTTGTTTTAAAATTTTTTTTAAAGATTTTGTTGCTGTCGTTCAGTTGATAAATGTATTGGCAGTGGTGGTGCTAATCCTGCGCGTGTGAGGGCGGACACCAGTTCACGCGTACAGTATCTTGCGCAGCAATAGTGGCCAATACGTGTGTACGTAGTTTGTTAAACGTCTTTCGCACCGTACGTAGCAAACTGTGCTAATCGGATGTGAAGCGGAAGGACATCGAACTAAACACAAAAAGCAGTTCTAAGGGAATGAGTTTTCAATCTCGATTTAAAAGTGCACGGCTCCAGTGGCTTGCTAATATCAGAAGAGCATTCCGGATGGCCGCAGAAGCGCATCTCAAAGCGCGCGATGCGGCGACCATCTTTGTTAAATGGCTTAGCCAAAAGCCGAAGATTTATGTTCTGTGATGAGATCAGCGAGGCATTTTGGTTCATTTGTGGCGAGCACTTTGCGTGCAAAGAGTGCGACCCTACAACGTGTTCGTTCGTCGACCGGAAGCCAACGCAGCTCGGCGAGCACTTGACGGGCACGGTCGGATCTGTACATAGGTGGGGTGACCATAATCCCATGCCCTCTCGATCTGCCGTCCTAAGCCTTGAGTGCGTTCGAGTCGGCGCCTCTTCAACGCCAAAGCCACGCAAACTCTCTCCTAAAGCCCTCTCGTCATGGCCAGCAGCAGCAGCAGCAGCAAACCTCGTAGACTATCGCCACACACAACAATAGAATTGCCCTCCGTAGCTTCTGAAACTCAACGCAACGTGCCAGCAGCATGGAACATTTTTTTACTTTCAATTGGGAGTTAATTTAGAAAAAAAAACGTTTTGATTCTTGAAGGATTCGCCTGTTACTTAACACATTCCTGCGGAGGGAGCTGGTAGGAACGTTGGGTTGCTCGGTCAATGGCCAGGGTCAACGGCGGCGTGGTGTATTCCGCAAATATGGCCGACTGTGAGGGCGGGCACAAGCCGGCGTGAGTAGGTTAAACGTTGAGTTTTATAAGGGCACCACGGGGTGACCAGCCCCTCCCCACCCAGCCCCACCCCTCCCACCCCTCACCCAGCCCCACCCTCCCCACCCAGCCCCTCCCCACCCTCCCCTCCCCACCAAGCCCCTCCCTCCCCACCCAGCCCCTCCCTGCACGACGGACGGACGGACACAATAATCCCCTGTGGGCTGGTGTAACCTGGAGGTTTCTACCAGTAATATCCACTCTGAGGGAAGTGTTTCTACGCCCGATGGAATAAGAGTCTCCACCTCTTACGAGCCACCGCGTCTCTCTGGCCTTTTCAATGTGCCATGAAGATGGGCCGTTGGCCTGAAAACGTTGCCTACGTATTTTTTTTGTATTTTAAGGCCACGGTGGTATTGTTGCGTGTGGCCGACACACTGTTGTACTTTCACGCGGGGTGAGGTGCGGGGATTCTTCTCACGTGGCTCAAGAAGGATTCGACTGTGCACCGGCGGACTCCTAACACCCCGTTGGCCAGGGCCCCCCCCCCCTCCCCCCGATCGTCACTCTTGACCAGAGGGTCGCAACCGGGTACCCGATACCCGTACCCTACCCGATACCCGGCTACCCGTACCCGGCCGGGTACGGGTAGCCGTTTGCGACCCTGGTGCGGCCGGGTACGGGTAGGCCGTGAGTCACTGGTGAGTAACCGTTTGTCACTCATTTCGGGTAGGGTACGGGTACGGGTAGGGAACGGGTACCCGTACCCGGCCGGATACGGGTACGGGTACCCATTTGCGACCCTGGTGCGGCCGGGTACGGGTAAGGAATCAAAACCCGATTTAAAGCTTTCGTGACTGCAGGGATTCATCTTCTTGGTTCTTTCGGTAAAGTCACGTAGAATGGAAATAATAAAATAATAAAAATATAACATAATAAAATTCTCACGACGTTTATTATTGGCTAAAGGTCGTACTCAGATTGTAAATGTTGTGGCTTGAATCAAAATCCGTTTGCGACCTCTGCTCTTGACTCAGCGTGCTGCACCCTGCCCCCCCCCCCCTCCTGTTGTCATCGCAGTGCTGAGCATCGGCGAGGGAGGCTTCTGGGAGGGGACGGTGAAGGGACGCACCGGCTGGTTCCCCGCCGACTGCGTGGAGGAGATCCCCATCCGGCACGAGTCTCTGCAAGGTACGGACGCTGGTCGTGTTGGCGACGCGCACACGAAGGCAAAGATCCCCAGTATAATAGTAACAGGTTTTTACCCTTTCAACTGGTACAAAAACTGATACCTTTATACAAGGGATCATGTATAAAGGTATCAGTTTTTGTACCAGTTGAAAGGGTAAAAACCTATTACTATATTTTTCCACTGTCTCGTAATCCCCAGTATAAGTCTGTGACAGACTGCTGGGGCAAGGGCTGTTAGCGGGTAGCACCTATGAAAGCCGGCACGGCACACGAGGGGGTGGGTGGCCATCAAGATGCACGGCCGCCTTTGTCTCCCCGGTGGCGATGTTTTTACACACCGCACCCAGGTAGCCATTTGAGGCTGAGTCCATCTAGGGGAGAGGCCCAGGACCGGTTCAGATAAGTGTCACCGGGGTTGGCCGTGAGCGGGAATCGAACTCGGGGCATAGCCGTGTTTGTAGCGCAGCGTGCTAACCGCTACACTACCACACACACACGTACACACACACACACACGCATGCGCACAAACGCAATGCACAGGGGCTGTTTGGTGTAAATTATCGCTTCGGTATTGCATTCCCCTGGCTCAGAGAGAGAAGGAGAGAATGATGGGATAAGAATAGGCTTTACCCTTTTCCGGCAGTAAAACAGGAGGCTATTTGGATGTTCAAGTAACAAATAGACACACCTATCGCAAGGCATCGAGTCTGCATTAACCATACATGCTTGTGGTGAAACGTGCTTTGATAATAATGCACGCATTGTCCCTGAAATAGTTTGGCCTACGCCAGAGACAGCCTCTGTCATGGCCTTGTCTCACCAGTGCTAGACCAGAGAACGCCAAAAGGCGAACAGCACAAAGGCAATCCAAGTATCAAAGCATCAATGGCTCGGGTTGGGAAGTGAAATCTGGGGAGAGAATGAATCAAGGGCCACGGGAAACCCAAGACGAGCAGTTGAAGGCAGCCAGAACGGCAACAATTTCCCCAAGCTCTGTGGTTCCTATTGTTGGAAAGTTGGAATGTTTGGCCAGCTTCGTCACGGAGCGATTATACATCTCTCTGAATTAAAGCTTTCGTGACTGCAGGGATTCATATTCTTGGTTCTTTCGGTAAAGTCACGTAGAAGGGAAATAATAAAATAATATAAATATAAAACAATAAAAATGATCGCGACGTTTCGACTGCAACACAAGCAATCGTCATCAGGTGTGAAATCCACAGAAAGAAAATTGTGGATTTGAGACCTGGAGACCCATCGTGGCGACCGCCCGTGACGACGCTACATTTCGCCATCGCTTCTTCTCCTGCCAATTCTTACCTTATTGTCTTACTTTATATTCACGGAGCGCCTTAGCTCAAGCCGCACTTTACACAACGTTTAAAGAGCATCAACAGAAATCGAGAGGTGTCGACGGAAGGGCACAGCGGAAGGGCCGAAGAATGAGCGACCGTAACAGAGGGAACGTGGGGGTCAGGAAAGGGCTATAGGGGAGGGACGGGAAGGAGTGGAGGGGCAAGGGGAGCAAAGCGGAAGGGAACGGGCGATGGAGACCGTTTCCCCCCCGATGTCTACTTCCAACAGCAGCGTCTCACCGCGCGGTGGCTTTAGGTGACCCTCTTGGGTTGCTGCCGACCTACGGATGGCGGCGGCTCCCACGACTGTTCCGATAACCTCCCCTTCCTCCGTCCTGCACGCGTGCCCCGCCATGCATCGCAATGATCTCATCCCGACGATATCCACAACACAGTGTGCATGCCACATTTTATCACGAAACTCGCCCACCCTATCCTGCCACAGAATTCCTCGCACCTTTGTCGCAGATGTTGCCCACGTGTTGTTCAACCGGCAGTGTCTCGCCCACTTTCTGTTTGCTCCGCGGAGGTACCAGCTCTCGGATCCGCAAAGTAGGGCAGATATCAATCCTGCCTCAAGCTTTCCCTATCTCTTCAAGCCAAGGCAGACTTTTGTAACTCTTCCCCAAGTATCTTAACGTGAAGTGGGTCAGAACTTTTTGTTTGCAAACTGGGAACAAAAAAGTGGGCATTATAGCCAGGTGGGCTGCTGCTGCTGCTGCTGCTACTTCTGATGGAGTGGGGGCTGCCTTCTTAGGGTGGGCCGACTTCAATGTCAACTTCAATCAAGCAGAAGTCGATTGCAGTTTAGAGGATAGTGGATGGAGAATGCACGAGGTGGTGGCGGGGCTGGGACACGGCGTGACAGAGCGAGGGATAGGGGCGGGGATGGGTGGCAGTAGGGTGGGTGGGTGATGGAGGGAGGGAAGTAGGGAAGGGAGGAGAGAGGGGGGAAGGGAGGGAGGAGGGAGGGAGGGACGCGTCACGAGGGAGCAGCATCACGCGTGTAGCGCGGAAATGAAGCGCTCATCTGCCCCCCCCCTCCCTCCATGGCTCCACTGGATAACTGCTGCAGCCACACTCCTCGTTAGGTCTGCAACGATGCATGAGTTCGTCGGCTAAAAATCGATCGCTACGCTTGAGACGCACGTAATTAAATTGTGCGTGTGTGCATAAGAATCCGTTATTTAAGACTAATGAATTTAATATACTTTTTGTTGTTGTTGTTGTTGTTGCAAATGTTATCTTCAGGCTAATGGAACTAACAAGACGGAACGAAAGGGGGCAGAACACACAAGGCAGACAAACTCACAAGCGAGATGGAAAAGCGAATTGATTTTCGCCCCCAAATGTTGACGGTTCTTGAATTTACAGGGACCGTTGAATCAGAATCAAAATCTTTATTTAGACTGGAGAAATCCGATGAGGTACAAAGCTCTTTTTATCAGATGTTCATGTTAAAGTCTGCCAAGCGCGAGTTCGCTTTTCTACAGAGGTATTGATTGCGCGTAGAAAGCTAACTATTGCATTAAAAAAACCCCAACTCGGGCGTTGTGTTTACCCTGCAATTTTTGCAACGTTTTTTGTTGTTGTCAAATTTAAAACAATTGAACAAACGCGGCCAATGGTCGCCGTCGCTGGCCTCGTCTCCAACTAACCTCGTGACCTTTCCTGACGTCACGGACGTCCAATAGTTCGATAATTGTTTTTTTACCCTTTTATCTGGCAACAAAACTGACACCTTTTTTTTACAAAAAGTCATGTTTGCATTGACCACAATACCTGCAGTCGGAATGCAAACAGAAAAACACACAACTCTGATAATGTATGCACTGTCCTTGAAATTTGGCGTCATCTGGTCCAACACCATGTGAGACTAGGCTCTTAGGAAAGCTGTCTCGGGTGTGGACCAATCAATTTCAAGGACAGTGAATACATTATCAGAGTTGTGTGTTTTTTGTTTGCATCCGATTGCAGGTATTGTGGTCAATGCAAACATGATTCCTTGTAAATAGGTGTCAGTTTTGTTGCCAGATAAAAGGGTAAAAAAACAATTATCATATTTTGCTACTGGCAAAGGAGGTTCCAATGGTCCAATAGTTCACGAACCGTTTGGGAGCCTGCTCGGCTTCCAACCCTCGAGATGGAACCACGTTCACCCTCGTCCTTCGAACACCTCGAGTGGCTCTCTCCCCCCCCCCCCACTCACCGCTCTCCTCTCGTTGTTCTCTCTACTCTAGCTCACACGCTCTCCACTCCGGCAACCAAGGGCTTGCTGATAAAACTTTCCAGTCAGCCTGCCCTCAAGGGAAGGTCACACTGCTGAGACTTTCGCCGCGGTGGCGAGATGTTAACTACCTCGCCTGCTATACAGGGGGTCGTGGGTTTGATCCCGACCCTGACTCCTATTGTATATTTGGAGTTTGTGTGTTGCTCTCTCTCCCCGTGGTCGCGTGGATTTTTCTCCGGGTCCTCCGTTTATTTCTCCAAATTTAGAATTAACGTCACACCTTTAGAGTATTTGGCCGCTATAAATGTCCACGTGATGAGCCACTTTGTTGAGCTCTCATTTGTGCTGGCCAAGTCGCTTCTGAATACGAGCTATAGAGCTCAATGGGCCTCACCTGGTAAAATAAAAATAGTTTATAGTTTAATAGATTTTTTTGTTCAGATTCAGACTCAATGCTGTCTTTCTCTTCTCCTCAATGACAGAGTGCCTCCCTTCTGATTCAATATTCGTGTTTGGGTTCGGCCATGTGGTCGTAGTTTTGTGCAAAAATTCTTCCCCTGAACCCTCCACCACCCGACGAGATTTTCACTTTCACAAAGATATTATTACGATTTCGTACGCGGCCAGAATATCGATAAAATTCCAACCGATAAAGCTCCCCTCTCCCGCCGGCGGTGGGATTCAGGCTTTTTCACGACCGAATTCATCATCGGCGTGCCACGACGTTTTCCTTCGGACTGCTTTGAGCTTCACCAGGCCGTGAACTCGGCGGGGCCTCCCACTCCCAATTTCCGACCTTCGCCGCCCGACGATGCTCAAAAGTGCCTCTACGTTGATGCCGAACGCTGTCGCGAAAGAGCCCGGAGCCAACCAGCGAGCCTTGTGCTCGGTCGGTCACAATTTGATCGATTACAGTGACACGGATTAATACAGTTATTTGTAAAATGTGACCGTCTTGGAGGGCGGTAGAGGATTAATGGAACTACCACGATTCCTGACCCCAAAAACAAACATGGGGAGGTCATTGGATTGGCTACGAAGAATGTGCGTTTTGAGACCGAGTAGAAATCTCTCTCTCTCTCGATGAAGTGTCCCCAATAACCTCAACTTTGTAATGCCATTTCCCCCTCGATCTCCCCCTGTGCCCTGTGGCATCCGTCTCTTTTCACCTCCCCTCTGACAATGGCCCAAGAGGAGGCATTACTCTTCCCCTATCTCCTAAAGACACCGTGCGTTGCCTTGTTTGTGCAGAATCTTGAGATGCGGTCCAATTTAGATGCTAATGAAATCCGAACCGCCCTGTGTTTATTTGTGCGCGCGGCTCTCGTGACGGTACGTGCGGTAGGCACGAGCGTGCAGTTGGCCGATTGATGGCAGGGTCAGGTGCTGCTGTCACATCCTCAGAGTGAAAAATG